TATGTATAAAACATCCAGTAGGCTAAAAGGTGAAACTTAAAAATTCTCAAGGAAGAAGTATTGTCGACATTGACCAGCTAGATTAAAACAAATGAATTCACAGATATAACAGCAGAACTTTTAGAAATAAAAGCAGTTGATCACAATGAGTTGATTAAACAGCGGTCCCATTTGAAGATAAAAAATGACAAATGGAAAATGGATTTGGAAAAATCACATGAAATTTACATAGGGAACAGAAGGAAGCCCTTTAATATTAAATAATCTACCAAAATCCTACAGAAATCTCATGAATAATGATAATAGGCTAGGTGCATGCCTTGTTAAGATCAGGAGCATGGTAAGGATACTAATTATCACCGCTTCTATTCAACCCTGAGTAGGAAATTTGCCAGTGTTGAGTGAAGGAGAAAATGACAAGTGTATGTGATTGAAAAGATGAAATAGTTACACGTGATGATTGGTTACAAGAAAATCCAAAAGCTCTACAGATCTACAGACAAATTATTAGAATTAATATAAAGCTTAGCAAGATGATTCAATAAGAGTAATTTATGTAAAATTAATTTTATTTTCATATGAGAAATAAACACTTATAAGATAGTATTAAAAATTATGCCATTACAACAGTACGAAAATAACAGAATACTTTTTTTAAAAGTGTGATAGACATTGAAGAGAAATTAAATTCATAGAGAAATATACTCTCTTCCTGAGAAAAACATATTTTCTTAAAAATGTGATTGTCTCCATAATTGTATATATTGAGTTAATAGCAATTCCAATAAAATCTCAAATTGTGTTTTTTTCAAGTAAATCAACACTCTGAATATGAAAACTGATATGGAAGATGAAAATTTGAGAATAGTTAAGATATTTCTGTAGAGGAACTATTAAAGTGTAAAGCATTTACTGTAATTGGTTACTTATATTAAATTGTAATTTATGATTCAAATTATAAATTATAGATTATATATTTCAAGCTCAGTTATTTTGGTACAGATTTTTTTTTTAATGGAGCAGTGAAACAAAACTGGAAAGAAGCAGACATAGGAATAAATTTGACATTTGCATTTGCTCCTGTTTGAAAAGTCTCTCTCCACTTCCTCCAGGTCTCTATTTCAATGTCACTTCCCAGTAAGGACTCTTCCATGCATGTCCTGTCGAAATTTACATGCCCAAATATCTATATGTAGTTCTTTTAGCAAACATAAAACATAACATTCTTTCAAGTATAGGTTACAATAACACACAAAAGCTTCATCAAGAAATTTATTTAAAGCATAATGTGATATTTACATATTGAAGGCAAAATTGAACAACCACACCCAGAAGCAATAGTTTGCAAACCTTTCCTTTAGAGTAACCGTTAATATTTCTTAATACATTAATCTCAGGTTCTGTTTCAAATGCTCCAGTTTATTCATGTCTATTTCACTCTCTTTTAGTTAATACCTTTAGAATATGCAATTTTCTTTCTCATTTCCAGGTCTGTGTACAAATTGTAAACTCACTTCACCAGCGGAATTGGCTTTTCCTTCTCCCTCAATATATGCAAATTCAACCCTTATCTAAGCACTGGCTGCAGGCGTCACTCCTTTCATCTCCAGCCTTTAATTATATCCCACATCTGCACCAACTCTGGCACTGAATGGCTATTTTCCCAGCCTCACGCCAGGCCATGGGTGCCACATTACACTCCATCCATTTAAAATCATTTATTGCTCCTATTCTTTGTTTATGCCTTGTTGACATGTACCCAGACTCTAACTTCTGCAATTTGTTAGTCCTTTACAATCCTACTCTTCCTTCTGGATTTATTTAGCATCTCCCCCAGTCAGTATTTCTGCATTTCCCCAACCCCAGGCAATCATATTTCAGCATGTCATTTATTTGTTATGTAATTAATGCATACATGCATAACTGGCAAAAAATAAGCACTCAATAATTGCTTGTTGAATGAAAAAATGCTTATCGAATGAAAAAATTGCCTGTTGAATGAAAAACTGCTCAACATCACTAATGATCAGGGAAATGCAAATTAAAACCACAATGTGATACCACCTTACTCATGAAGAATGGCCATAATGAAAAAATCAAAAAATAATAGATGTTGGCAGGGATGCGGTAAAAAGAGAACACTTTTACACTGCTGGTGGGAATGCAAACCGGTACAACCACTATGGAAAACAGTGTGGAGATTCCTTAAAGAACTAAAAGTAGAACTACCATTTGATTCAGCAGTCCCACTACTGTGTACCTACCCACAGGAAAATAAGTCATTATACAAAAAAGATACTTGCACACATATGTTTATAGCAGCACAATTTACAATTGCAAAAATATGGAACCAACTCAAATACCCATCAATCAGTGAGTGAATAAAGACATTGTGTTATGCATATATATATATATATACACACACACACATACACCATGAAATACTATTTAGTCATTTAAAAAAATGGAATAATGCATTCACAGCAACCTGATGGAATTGGAGACCATTATTTTTAAGTGAAGTAATTCAGGAATGGAAAACCAAACATGTATGCTCTCGCTCATAAGTGGGAGCTAAGCTATGAGGATGCAAAGACATAAGAATGACACAATGGACTTTGGGCACTTGGGGGAAAGGGTGAGAGGGGAATGAGGGATAAAAGACTACAAATTAGGTACAGTATATATTGTTTGGGTGATGGGTGCACCAAAATCTCACAAACCACCACTGAAAAACTTATGTAACCAAACACCACCTGTTCCCTAAAACCTATGAAAATTAAAAGAAAAATTGCTTGTTGAGTGAATAAATGAGTGAATTTTCTGTTTTCTAAATGTATAGGCTAGAGGTCAGGAACAAATTATATTTTCTGGGTATTTTTCTGTGCATCTAACATGATGCTAAGTATATAGAAAACACTACTATAGATTATTAGAATAAAAATGTATGAATTCTGTTTGTATGGGTGAGTGAATGTGTCTGTGTGTGAGAGAGAAAGGCAAAGACAGATGAAGACAGGAGGAATTACTTGTTCACCCTTGGAGAAGTTAATACAACATTGTGTGTGTGTGTGTGTGTGTGTGTGGTTTTTTTGTTTGTTTGTTTTTTGTTTTTTTGGTTTTATTGAGACAGATTTTCACTCTTGTTGCCCAGGTTGGAGTGCAATGGCGCGATCTCAGCGAATCTGAGAACTGATAATTCTGATCCCTTTGAAGACTATAGGGCCAATGGAAATATCCTCCGGTGGCTGGGATTACGGGCATGCGCCACCACCCCTGGCAAATTTTTTATTTTTAGTAGGGGTTTCTCCACTTTGGTCAGGCTGGTCTTGAACTCCCTACCTTATTGTCTGAAAATTAAACTTATATGTAACTGAATATTGCATTCAAATATTTCCTTCATTTTTTATATAAATGACTTGTATGTTTCTATAGGAGAAAGTGATTCTGACAAATCAGTGAAATGCATAAAGAAAGGACAAAGAGACAGGACACGTCACAAAAGATTTTTTTGAGCTATGTTACCTCTGTGGGTTTTAAGAGGCAAGTCAAATTGCTTCAACTCTGTCCTCTACAGTAGTGGCAATGATAACTAATTCTCCCCAGGTTTGACAGCACAAAAGCCCTCCAACAGGTGCCCTGCTGTACCACCGGTGGCTGATCTCACTAGAAAGTTGCTCCTCTGTCAACATTGGGTGTCTCTGGAAGGAGAGTTGGACTACTCTTGTCTCACTTTCCTCTCTATGTTCAAAACTGAACTTGATAATTTCAAAGTCCAGACTCTTCTTGCAGACCCATCCTCAACCAGGAAAGTTCCAGGACTACGTGTTGTCCAAGTAGTGAAAGTGCCCTATAATGGAAAAGAGCTGACAGCATATGCAAAAGCGACAAAGCGTAAGAGTTTTCCTGGTTAGTCATTTGCTGCCTTTGACATGTTCATAATAAGCCTGGTACCTTCACAGTGTGTGGTGCAGAGTAGGCACTCAAATGTTTCTGTTGAATAAGTGAAAGTATTACTTGAGGTGGAAATTTGAATAGGAATAGATGTATATGGAAACATTCTGTGGTCACTATTTGGTAGGAAAAGGGAAAAGTTAATCAGTAAGTACCCACTATTCATCCAGCTCTGTTGGGTGATGAATGACAGTGTACAGTTGCTGTACTAAATAACAGCAACAGGAAAACACAAGTAATTACTATTTTGGCATACACTTCATGTTACTTTCTAGTTGGTTAACTCAATGCCTTACATCTCTTTTGTTAAGATCTTCTTGAACACATTGTATTTTTCACATTTAATAGTGTCAAGGCTTTTCACAGTAGGGCTTACATTTGATTTTGTCACACAATAGACAATCCCTAAGACAACCTGTAATTCCAGTCCATTAGGCTAATGGATAGTAGCTGCTGTGAGCAGTGGGCATGTAATCTTTTGATAATAAAGTCTAGTAAGACACAAAATATAAAAATAAACTGAAAGGAATAGATTTAGCTGATACAAATATTTTGTTTTTTCCTTATAAAAGACTAGTAAATAGACACAGTCAACAGAATTTTTAGAATTACATATGGATACATATGAATAATTGCATCACACAATATTGACAAAGTTCCAAAAGTGATAAGTTTTTGTTTGGGAAGTCTTGCTAATGAAAATTCTTTACTTACTTTTTCTCAATGTTTACTTTTAAAAGCCTGTTATTATTACATGTCATTGCGTATGTATTACAGCATTTATCATTAGAGATTGTATTCAAGAGGATATTCTTAGACCATATTCTTGAGGCGTTATTCGTATAAGAACCTGCCCATGGGAGAAATGCACCTACCATGAAAGAAGGCGAAGCATCACTGAAGGGAGTTGACATTTTTCATTTTAATTTTTAATTTATCTGAGTCACTCCACTGAATTGCAGAAAAGCAAGTATGTCCCCTTAAATCAATTTCATGGAGTCAAAAAAGAAATATTATGTTCTTATAACATCTGGTTTCTGTTTCAGAAAGCTGAAATTCTGTCTTTTGGAGAACACGGGGAGGAAATCTGCAACACCAAATCCACCTGGTTTAGTCACCTAATGAACCATTCCATTAGTAACTAAAGATCTTTGCTTTGTTCATGTTACCTGCATTCGAACCTGAACTCCTTCAAAGAAATTCTCTTTCTCCTGTTTCTATAAAAACAAGGCTGCTAAAATATATTACATATCATTAATATTTTGAAGTCTCTTTATGATTAATAAATATGAAAGATAATTCTTGATGTTCATTCTGAAAGCTTCACTGCAAATATAATTGTCATCATGCTTCATCAATGACCCTATATGTTTTGCTTTTTTAATAATAAAAAAACAAGTAGAGATTGTAAAAGAAAGGTGAGGGTAGAAGAAAAGAGCAGAAAAGGGGAAAAAAGGATTGGAAAGGGGAAGAAGGAGACGGGACAAGAGGAAAGGTAGTGAGAAAGGAGGAAAGAGGAGAGAGGAAGAAAGGAGAAAGTGGTTTCTGAGGGGAGCATTGGAGGCCATGATTTTGACCCAAGGTTCATTTGCATACATACCAGAAGGCGTTGGAAGCATGTGTCTTCATTTAAAGGATGGAGGGGATGTCTTTATTACAAGGTCACTGTGTCTAGATGCAGTTGTGCAGTGAGAGTACTTAGATGTTGAGACGCCATAAATCTAATAGTCCCTCCCTGTACCAGCTTTAAAATGTATGTTTTGGTGAGAAATTTACTCCAAGCCAGGCTAACGAAGGGAAAGCTTAGAGTGAATGGGAAAGAGAATAACAGGAATCCCTCCTTGATCACCACATCAGATGTACGATGCTGAGGAAGGCATGAGAAGCCTAGAAAAGAGCTTCTGAGACTCTCAGATGCTGCCGGGCATCACTGGAGCAGCTTCCCTCCTCAGGAAGCCAGAGTCACCAGTGCATTGTTTGGGCTTTGCTAGTTGCACATGAGGCAGGATAAGGAGCTTGGGAGGCGGCAGAGCTGCAAGGTTTCCAGCACAAGTGGCTGCTGGTGGGGAACTCAGCTGGAACCACCATGACCAGCTCCCTGGCTAGAGAGTGCAGGTGACCCACGTCTTTGCCTGCACCAGTTCCTGGGTATCAGGGAGACTGGCCCACTCCCTCAGCAACAGGTCAGAAAATAACTAATCCTTGGAGGGAAGTTTCTAGGGAGGGAAGCCAATAAGGAGGGCCCTTATTTCTATTTCTCCCTGGGTCTGCCCCTGGTGCTACATATCAGAGAAAGACCCCTATGGGGTTGGGCAAAGAGGGCCAACAGAACACCTCCAACTTATTCCAAGGGCAAAAGGCTAGAGGCAGGCAAAAGTGATGGGCACCTGAGGAGAAAGGATTTAAGGCCAAAGTTTGGCTTCATTGATGTCTGGCCCTCTTCACTCCGAAATTTGTGGACAGCTACTTCCAGCAGGGGTGAGATAACCAGGAGAAATGTCTGATGATGAAGCAGCCAGGAGCTCCCCAAATCCAGGAGCAATGTCTGCATGGGCCAGTGAGTGTGCAGGGTGGGAGGGGCAGAGCACCGTGTTCAATTGGACAGCATTCTTTGCCGCCCTCCTTACCCCCCAGCCACTTCTAACCAGGTGTATTAGTCCATTCTCACATTGGAATGAGGAACTACCTGAGACTGGGTAATTTATGAAGAAAAGAGGTTTAATTGACTTACATTTCCACAGGTGGTACATGAAGCATGGCTGGGGAGGCCTCAGGAAACTTACAGTCATGGCAGAAGACCAAGGGGAAGCAGGCACTTACATGGGTGGGAACAGGAGAGAGAGTGAAGGGGCAGGTGCTACACAATTTTTTTTTTTTTTAAAGAGGGAGTCTCACTCTGTCGCCCAGACTGGAGTGCAGTGGCACGATCTTGGCTCACGGCAAGCTCCGTGCCATTCTCCTGCCTCAGTCTCCCAAGTAGCTGTGACTACAGGTGCCCGCCACCACGCCCGGCTATTTTTTTGTATTTTTAGTAAAGATGGGATTTCACCATGTTAGCCAGGATGCTCCTGATCTCCTGACCTTGTGATCCACCCGCCTTGGCCTCCCAAAGTCCTGGGATTACAGGCGTGAGCCACCACGCCCAGCCGGTGCTACACACTTTTAAACGACCAGACCTCATGAGAACTCAGTCACTATCTTCAGAACAGCAAGAGCAAAATCAGCACCCCCACCATGATCCAAACACCTTGCATCAGGCCCTGCCTCTAACACTGAGGATTACAATTTGACAGGAGATCTGGGTGAAGACGCAGAGTCAAACCATGTCACCAGGGCTCTGTTAGAATCACAGCATGTTTCCTTGGAGCTCTTTAGGGAATTTAAAATGTTGTACAGGACTGTGGGGCCTTCTCTCAATGAGCCAATCTGGAGGTACCATGACTGTTACAACAGAGAAAATCGCTAGAAAATGGGTTGAGATTTTTCACTCTTTTGCTCCAATGTTTTGACAATCTAGAGACATATGTATTACCAAGGACAATACTTCCTTCAAATTATCCTCAATATTGCAAATAAAGGGTAATTTTTATTTAGCGGGCTTCCAGGAGAAGCTAATACCCGTATTAAAAATTAAAATCTGGTGGCTGTATCTGTATGTAACAGTTGACATTTTCCAAAATCTTTTTAGTTTAATATAGCTAATATTCCTAACTTTCTACATAACCCCTAAAACTAGATAATGTTTTTCCATGAAAGTTAAATTTTTTTAACACTCAACTCAATCCAATTATCTTTTGATGTCAGTCTGTGAGTAGCACAAAAATAAAATTGCAATAGCAATTAGCATGGAAGCTGATAAAAGTAGAAATCTTCAAAAATTAACTTTTTGTTTTTAGTAAAGAAATCTTCAATGATTTTAAAATAAACTTGTAATGGAACCCCTTGCATAGTATATCTACTTATGAGATATCATTTAGTTAAGTTAGTTTGAAGTAAATTTATTAAAAATATTGATTTGTTTTTAATTATATTTCAAATTAAAATGATTGAGTAATAAAGTCACTTTCAGATACACATTAATTCTATTTTTAATCTTTTAAATATGTTGTCATCAAATTCCTTTTAATGATAATAGACTCTAATGGAAAAATATTTCATCTGTATTTCAAGCATGCTCTACATTTTTTATAAAGAACTCTGAATCTTTTTAAATATAATAACCAAATCATTAGTAGCCTAATGATTGCCCAGAACAATAAAGCTAAATTTAAAAATACTTTCCAACAGACACGAATTTATACAATGAACTAAATCCTAATGAAGTTTTCTGCAGTGATACAACTTAAAAACCCTCTTATAGTATTATATACTTAATTGACACCAGAATCTTTTTAACAATTTAAATATACTCTCTTTAAAATGAGTTCTAACACCACCTGTACTGCGAGATACTGATTAGAGGAAGAAGAAAGTCACCTATGAATAAAGCCACTTTGCAAACATTTAGCAGTCTTTAAATTCTGTAGTCTTTTAAAAGAAGAAATAGGGATTCCATTTCATGTCATGTTATCGTGTCTTTTTATGTGTAGATGGAAGACCCGAGCTATAATGATGGTTAAATATACTGTATATTGAATTACTCATCTCTAATGAGCTTAGAATAAGACCTTTATGTGAGCACAAATTGTATATATCTAAATTTAAATACACATAATTCTAAGTATTTCACCTGGTTTTCAATGAGTCTAATTTCCATCTCTCTCACATTCTTCATCTGTGTGAGCTTCTTCCTTCTTTTTTCCCTTTTTAGTTAACATGTTTTCTCTAGGTTCCAGAATCCAGAAATTGGTGCATAGTATAACATCAACTTGTAAATTTTAACTTTAAATGTTGTTTCTGGATTATCTTTCTTAAACACATCAAAATCTACTCAAGTTATAGTGGGCTATCTTTAGAACATGACTATAGGACACAGACTACAACATTCAACAGGCATATGACTTCCCCACTCCATTCTAATAGATGGATGAAGGGTCGCAGATACTTATTATATTTACCACATGAATTCCCATTTTAATGGAAAAGCAAATGCCTGAGAAAAGAGCTAGAAGGTTCTTATTTCTAAGAACCTTTACAATTCCGTTTATTGACAACCAACATTTAAAATGTGTTCTATTAATTGGGGGACAAGCAGAGATAAAGTTTTTCAATGTAAAATTTTTTGTGTATACACAAAAAAGTTTCTTTTGGAATTATGTCCTAACATAAACTATTTGTAATCAAAAGATGTCTGATTTGGAAATAAACACTTTTAAAATGCAAACTTGTTTTGTTATATCCTGTGGCTATCACAATTTATGTGGAGCTATTTAAACAATCGTCTTCTTCAAACATATCTATATATTTTATTGAGGGAGGACAACACCTTCTAGTTGAATCCATAAATAAATGTACTTCTCAGGCTTGTAACTAACATAATGTAGCATTTCAGAATGTCTGTGTCCCCAGATGCCCTGCCAGTGGAATGCTTCCTGCTGCTAAAAGTTATGCTTTCCACCTCTTTTTATAACTTGTCTGGCAGACTTGGCATGAAGGTGACAACTTAAGCTAAAAATCTGTCAAAACAAAGAATAGCTAACAGGCATGTCTAAGGCTGATGTGAAAATGGAACACAAGCCCACTAGAATGAAATGTATGCTATATAGATGCTTGTTCAGAAAATAGGTATATCCGTGTTTACTGTACTGAACACATATTTCTGGGCAACCACTTTCCAGATCTAATGCAGGATTCTCTGAATTCGTAGTGAAAACAGTCCTTGCCCTCAAGAACATAAACATAGGAACAGCTAACATTATTGAGCTCTCTCAGTGCTCCAAGAACTCTTCCAAATGCTTTCATACGTTACCTAATATTAAGATAATTAGTCCTCACAATAAGGCTATGTGATAGGTGAATTATTGTACACATTTTGTAGATGAGAAAACCGAGGTCCCCATAGTTAAAGGATCTTGCCCAGATTAGACAGATAGATACTAAGCTGTAGAGCCAGAGCTCACTTCCAAGTAGGCCAACCCAGAGGCTCCACTGTTACCTATTCCTCCATCCTGCTTGTTTTGTTATGAAGGAGATACACACATAAATGCAAAATTCCAACATAGTGGTTCAAGTGTTCAAGTATAAAAAGAATATTTGTGGCTTTGTTGCGCACAGTGTGGACATGAAGCGGAGTGCATTAAAAAAGGATTCTCATACA